AGGAAAGGGAAGAGAGAGGGAGGAAGGAAGAAAGAAAGGAAGGAATGGAGGAAAAGAAAATTAAGTTTGAATCCAAAACAATCACATTCACAAGGTCTTTTTAGAACAATTAGCCAGCCAGAATAAAGAGGGACTATGAGGTAGAATTCAAAACTGCCTTGCAAATGGTTCCAAGCGAATATAAAAGACTGTATTTATAGAAGGCACAAAAACGTTGTACAATATACTGGAGAGTGGAAATATATTACATATATTGGCCAGACAGTTTAGGAGGTTCTTATTGTTCTGGGAAGGTGACATTCCTATTTTAGGGCTTCAAAAACTTCCTTCAACTTCAGGGTGACTCCTGAAAACTCCACGGATACATCGATAAATCAGAAGGCATTTGTTTGGCCCCTTTCAGCTATCAACGATTGTTAAAAGCCAATAGCTTTTGCAACCAGCCTATTTCTTGTCTTGTATTAATGTTGGCAACAGTAAAAAAACAAACAAACACAACCTGTGTCTCCTCCGAGGAAGCAATTTTGACTTCCTAATCAAGCCTTTCTCCACCTTGGCAACTTGGGACTTCAACTCCCAGGATTCTCCAGCCAGGGGGATTCTGGGAATTGAAGTCCACTCATTTTAAAGCAAAATGTAACACAGATACATTGCGTTTTCTCCATGCGTCTGTCTCTCGCAGCACGGATCTAAGCATCGCCCAACGCTGTGCTCCCATGCATAATTCAAAAAGGCAATTACTTTGAAAACAAAACTTCCCCCAAACACATCGGTCGGCCGGAAGATGTCACTCGAGCACTCAGCAAAATGCTCTGCTGGAAACGCACCCAGGAAGCAAAACGATGGGGATTTCTCCCCAGGCTCCATTGTTTTGAGCACTCAACAGCCCATTTTCCATTTTCAGGCTTCTCAACCGTTGGGTATCTAGACTTTCAAAAGGTGGATCTTCTCCCGGAACGTCTAACTACCTTAAAATTTCTTGTCTTAAGATCCGTCGGTGGCGCAGTGGTTAAGAGTGCAGTACTGCAGGCCACTTCTGCTGATAATTGGCTGCCTGCAATTTGGCAGTTCAAATCCCACCAGGCTCAAGGTCGACTCGGCATTTCTCTCCTTCCGAGGTGGGTAAAATGAGGACCCAGATTGTTGGGGGCGATACGCTGACTCTGTAAACCGCTTAGAGAGGGCTGCATAAAGTACTGTGAAGTGATATTCCTTCCTTCCTTCCTTCCTTCCCAGTAGTTAGAATCCAGTATAGCAGGATAATTCTGCCCACTGCCAAGAGTTCGATCCTGACTGGCTCAAGGTTGACTCAGCCTTCCATCCTTCCGAGGTGGGTAAAATGAGGACCCAGATTGTTGGGGAAAAGAGGCTGACACTGTAAACCGCTTAGAGAGAGCTGTAAACACCATGAAGTGGTATATAAGTCTATTGCTATTTTACAAAACTACTCCAGCTCTAAAGATAAGCTTGAAAAAGATAATGCTTCTTCTGAAAAACCTTGTCCAGCAGAGTGAGAAAATCCTTTATTTAATCACCTTAGACCTCAAATTGTACTTATTTGTTTCGGAATTATTTCTCTTCGAAAGGCACGATTTGGCTTGGGTACAGCTTTAATCAGCCTGGTGAAGTTTCCCCTGAATTTTTATTGATGGCTGCCACCACTGGCTTCTGTAAATGGCCACTTAAAACCCTTCCACAGTTTCAGATTTGTGCACTGGTTCCTTTACGGTCTGATGGCACCTGAACGGTTCTGCTACTAGACCAGGGGTCTTCAAACTTGACAGCTTCAAGACTTGTGGACTTCGACTCCCAGAATTCCTCTTCCAGTCATGTTAGCTCAGGAATTCTGGGAGCTGAAGTCCACAAGTCTTGAAGCTGTCAAGTTTGGAGGCCCTTGTAACTAGACCAAGCGATTTTAGGCGTGCTTAAAATAAATCACTCCAAGGCCACGGGCTGGCTTACCAATCCACTGATCTCGGACACAGGAAAAGAACTGGAATCCACAGAGGATGAGGGCATGAGCTGAAATTAGAGCTATGTACATCTGGAAAAAAAGGGAAGATGCAGAAATCAATCTTCGGAAGGCACAGCTTCCAACACAATCGCGCGTCCCCTTCCTTTATTTCTCATCTATCTTTGTCTATTTCAGGGGTGTCAAACTCGATTTCATTGAGGGCCGCATCAGGGTTGTGCTGGACCAGGGGGAGGGGGAGAGGGGGGCATGGCTGAGGTGGGTGTGGGCATGTCCAGGTTGACGTCACTCGTTCAGCTCCGTTTTCGGCCACAATGGCTTCCTGCAGCCCTCTTGCCAGCAAAAACGCCCAGGTGGGCTGTGCACAGCCTTCACAAGCTCCGTTTTCGCTGGCAGTGGCACCACAGGCCAGTTCTACACTTTTTCCAGAGTGGCCCCATGAGCCAGATTGAGGCATCCCTCCAGCCGGATCTGGCCCAGGGGGGCCTCGACTTCGACACCCTCGATTTATTTTCTCCATTTTGGAAGTTGCCTGATTCCACAACAATTTGAGGCAGCTTACAATAAACAATTAAATGCAAACGATGCCTATTAAAAAAATTAAAATTAAAATAAAAGGAACAGAGTTAATCGGAAGGTGCCCCCCCCACACCCCAAAAAAGTTCAAACAGCAAAATGAAAAAAGCTCAGCCCCCATTTCCAAGCCAAGGAAGGTCTGAGAAAAAGCCCGAAGGGCACAGAGATAGAAGAGATGATATTTCACAAGGCAGATATTTCACCCTCACCAAGGTAGTGATGTTGGCATCAGAACGCCACCAGTATTCTGACTTGCAAATTTAAACGTTCCGCTAACGCTCATCCCTCTTCCCCGATTTGCGATAAATGAAATCCCAACGCCTACTCACAGTAAAAAGCACGAAAAACCTCTGGTTCCTTTCCCCTACGCAGTTGTTAACCCACGGACAGTGATGGTCCATCTTCCGAATGCATCGTTTGCAAATACTGATGGGAATTTAAAAGGAAAAACGAGTGAGAAAGAAGGGGGAAAAAAAAAGGTTATGTGCATTTTGGAGCTCCTTTGAAAGAAGACCAGCCTGATGGGACCTCAGGGTAGCAACGGGGAAAGGATTTTACACCTCGGTTCTAACCGGAGGGAGCTAGGTATGTTATATGCCGGTTTCAGAGCAAATCAAGGACAGAGCGACGGATACCTGCAGTGATGGGCACGTTCTGGCTTCACACTGCAACATTTGGGGCACTTGTAGATGACCTCCCCTGGTTTCAACTGCAAACTCTCCATGTATTCTTTTGTCGCATTTCCTTTGGGGACAGCACCCTAAAAAGCAAGACAGACACAACTCAGTGACTCAGGAGGCGGCTGATCTTTTACACTGTACTCCTCGATGATCTCACGTTCTCCAAACAGGCTGCCCTTCAGTTCCCAGAATCCCCCAGGCTGCGTTGGGAGAATGGAAGAACTCACCACGGCCAACTGGCTACACAGCCAACTCACCACTAGCCAATTCGCCATGGCCAACTCGCTGTGGCCAGGTCATCAGGGCCAACTCACCACGGGACAACTTCACCTTGGCCAACCCGCCACAGGTTGGCCATTCAACTAGTGTATTTAATTATTGAAAATAATTTAAAAATTATTGTAATCTTTGTCCTTCAGGTTTCATATTGTCCCTCCTTTCACATCCTTTCTGTAATGATTCCATTCCGCCTGTCAATTCATAAAATATTTCTACGGTCTTTTTGGAGTTGCTAACAGAAAGGGAGGGGGGAGCGGTGTGGCAGCTTGCAAAACCAAAACTGCATTCCATAAATGTTTTCAGAGATAGTAACTAGGTGACCAAAGTTTCTGCCATGCAAAATTCTAACTGCAGAGCATGATTGATGACTCTTGGTTATGGATGTGTCCCATTGGAGAATATGAATGATATACCCAGAGGATGGGGGGAAAACCAGGGTCAAAGGTGACAATGAATGATGTGTCATAGAGTCGGCTACATCCAGGCAGTGCCGGCATGTTAACTCCCAATAAATCCTTTTTTTAAGTTTTGGAGGTTTGGCTCCAGACTCATGATTTAAATGGGGGTAACTGCTGGAGCCCTGACACCACCATTTCTTCAATATTCTGTAATTTTGTTCCGAGGTGAGTTATTCTGCAGTGAGTTGGCCATGGCAAATTGTTCTAGACTCATGGGATTATAAAGAAGCAGGAATCCACAGGGTCAAGAAAGAGTTCTCCGCGTGGCATCCAAAACCGTTGGGTCTCCACACTCACTGGATCCGTCAGCATGGTTCTTAGGTGAGAAGACAACGCAAGCACAGCCAAGCCGTTGAAAAGGACTCCGTTGACCAGGGAGTACCAGAAGTCTTTGGAAGGCAGCAGCATGACAAAGGTGACCACGAAGTCGGCGTAGACCACCAGAAGCCAGGTCATCACTGCGCAGACCATCCCGCAGCTGTCGCGGATGAACCAGAGGCGATCTCCCGCGTCACACGCGGACGATGAATCGTAGCAGTCGTTCTCAGCCAGAAGTGGATGGTGTTCAACTTCACGCAACCTGTGCCCGGATGACTGCATGGTTTTCCGGACTGGCCCTGTGGGGAAATAACTGGTGGGTAGCCACGCAGCCGGGATCCTAGATGGCCCATCCTCTGTCAAGGGAGAGCGAACAGCCCCATCCTGTTCTAATTTAAACGAGGCAAGCCAAACGCAGTAGAAAGGACCCCAGAATCTATGTATTGATCTCAACACACTCAGAAGACCAAATGTTTAAGATCCTAAGGGTCAATCAGGGTTTTTTTTCCCCCACATTATGTTGGCTGCTTGTAAGAACTTCTAGAAGTCCTCAAGTCAGCTGTTGAAATGGAAATAAAATTAAAACAGGGATTGGCGTTCAGAGTTGAAAGGAGGAGTCTGAAATGAGTTCTGAGCCTGCCTGTTTTCTCGCAAGATGTTTCCTTATCCAATTAACATCAGTGGGTCGGAGGGAACAAGATTTGCAGAGGAGGAGGAGGAGGAAGAGATGGAGATTGTGGTGTCTTTGGTGCTCTCTGAGCTTGGTTGTTTTCTTGCAGACGTTTCATTACCCAATTCAATAACATCATCAGTGCTAGAAGGGAGTGAGGTTTGGAGGAGGAGGAGGAGGAAGAGATGATTGTGGCACTCTTGGTGCCTGACTGTTTTCTGGCAGATGTTTCATTACTCAAAATAGGCAACGACATCACTGAACAACTGAGTTCAGAGAGTACCAAGGACCCCGTAACATTAAAGTCTTCCCCTCTTCCCCACTGCTTTTGTTTCTGGCTGTTCTTTTGGAGTGGCTTCTCAAGTGTAAAATCTTGGCGGAGGAAGAGGAGACTCATGAAATCCACCTCCTTCTCGACAGACCAATCGTGGGGCTCCCATTGTTTAATGCTGTTTTTGCAGAGGTTTGAATACCTTTAGCTGTACTAAATGAGGTGGCCCCGTCAATGAGTTACTTTCACGCAGGAATCACACCCTAGGATTTATTTATTAATTTATTCATTTGAAAATTCGGCCTCCGGGGAATAGAAAAGTCCTGCTCTGGGGATCCATCTCTTGGTCCTCGTTTGCCCTGGCCCACCCTTCTCTTTCCCGTCTGCAGGATGGAAGTCTCTCTGGGGAACATTTGCTAAACCCCATTTGGTGTCTTTGAGTGAAGTTCTAAGAAGCTTCATGGACTCACAAATGGCCTCGTTAAACCATGGCTTGCTTGGGAAGGGGTGGCGTTCTCAGGGAGCACCCCCACAGAAAATCAAAGCAGGAGGAAAACAGCTGCAGCGTTAAGTCTCCCGAATGCCGGGAACGGCGAGAAACCCTAGATATCCTTTTCATCCTAAAACCCCTATTGATTCAGGGCTGTTACGGTCGATGGTGAAGAGCGGGGCTGAAAGCCTGCTATTGATTTGCTGATATCTGAGCAGATGCTCCTCGGTCCCCCCACGAACGGCAGCGTCCTTTCCCTGACAACACAGCACACGTGAATGCCGGTTTTAGGGGCGCGTTCGGCTAATGTGTAATTATCCTTGATTTATCACAAGTCAAGGCGGGAAGCTGGGCCCCGCCAGCTGAATGAAACAAGGACAGAAGGGGGTTAGGATTGATTCTACCTCCTCCTCCTCCTCCTCCTCACTGTGAATAGGTGCAGCCTTAGCTTGAAGAAAGCAATCGCCCCTCAATTATTATTATTTTTTTCTTCTTTTCAAGATACTCAGCCACTGCCTGGGCAAGTTCCTGCACTTTCCTGGTGGGGTTTTTCAAAAGCTGTTTGCCACCGTCTCCTTCCTAGGGCTGAGAGAGGAGGACTGGCCCAAGCTGACCCAGGAGATTTGGCACCTAAGGCAGAACTAGAACTCCCAGTGTTCTTCTGCTTTCTAGCCTGGGGTCTTCACCGCTACCCTGATCTGGCTCCGGCCTGTAGCCAATTCTCCTTTCACTGATTGTGAAAGGAGAAGGAAGTGAAGTGAAGGAAATCAGGATCCATTCAGAACCACCTCGAGGCTGACTACGATCCTTAGGAATCCAGCTGACAAACGGCATTCTGCAGCAGTGCAAGATTTTAATCCTGCCTTTGGAACACAATCAAGTCATCCACACAACATCCTAAGCATGACTTGATGATTACTGTTAACAAAACAACAACCCGGATGAGGGAAAAAAAAAAAAAAAACCTTCATTTTTGGCACAGGGTTCAGATCTTAATCCACGGAGCGGCAATTCTGCAGCAAAAAAAAAAAAAAGCTGGTTTTGCTTTTCCCTCCCCCAAAAAAGATGCTGTGTAAGATAAAAGACTTGCTGTAGGGAGGGGTGGCGGGGGAGGGAAGACAGCATAAAGGAGGTTGACTTGTTGAAAACCCCAAATACGTAATCCAAACGTGACTGGGGGAGTGGGGCATCGCTCCGACCTAAGCTGAGGCACGGAAGCCTTCGCATAAAAAGGATCTCTTTCAAACCACAAATATTTGAGGCAAGGGCTTGACTGTTTTGCAGCTTTTATAAAATTGCCTATATTCATTTTCTCCAACCTGGTGCCCTTCAAGCATACTGCATTGCAGTTTATGTACCTATCTTAGCCAGCCTCCTCTTAGCCAAGACCAAAGAGAGTTTTTGATCTTGGAGAAGGATGGCCGATGAAACGCTTTTAACTTGGGGCTTTTCAAGTCTGGTTTTCCCAGCCACAAGAATATCAAATAAACAGGCTTTCCATTTGCTGCAGAAAGGCAATAACTACCCACAGGAACTGATGAGAGGGCAGTCCACAGCAGGAGGCCACAACAACTTAGAAGACAAACTGTACCAAAAGCTCAGAGAAATGTCCGTCAAATACTCCTCCTATGAATAATGTGAACGCTTGATGAAAATATATCTC